AAATAAAAATTGCAATCTTAGCCTCTGGAGCAAGAGCAAACGGGAGCTTGACCACGAAGAACCTCCCACTGCTACCTTTAAGTGTGAAATACCTGGATGTTGGTATCTCTTACTGCCTGGTGGTCTTCTTTCTCATTTGCTCCCTCCCTCTACATGCCCAGGTGCACAGCTTTGGCCCCCAGGCCTGCAGGACTGACGTGGCAGGGCTATGGAGCGGCTGCCCGCTGCGCCAAGACCACTTCTCGGGAACCCTTGGCCAGGCGGTGCGCTGCACATCCTCCTGGACCGTCCGCAACACTTCCGGGGAGCTGCTGCTCAGCGCAGTGACCCCAGCCCGGAGCAGCAGGGGCCAGATGGGGAGCGAGGGCGGAAGCCCCCATCACCAGGGCAGAGCTGAGCTCTGAGACCTGCCGCCTGCCACCCGCAGCTGCTCTTGGGCCCGCGGGCGCCACAGGAGCTACATTCTATTCCAGAACAGGGCAGGATGCAAGAGATGGCCATGTGGCTGCCTCCGCCTCCTCCTCCTCCTTCAACAATGCCATAAAATCGGACCATTAAATCCTTAAAAACGTTTCTGAGGAGAAATAAAATAAATAAATGGCAAGTCTGTATTTCTTAGATGATTGCTGACTGCAAGGTAAATTCCAGTCTTGGTAGCAGCCGCCTCGTCCCAGCTCTAATCACTCATTTTATTATCCATTCTTTCACCCCCTGCCCAGTGATGTCAATGCTCCCGGACTTGAAGTGCACGCAGAGGGTGGTGGGCAGTTTTTGCCTAACCTTTGTAGATATTGTAACACCTGCTTGACAGGAGGAGAAAGGATGAGTGAGCCAACAATTGTTTCGGGGAAAGTTTTCATCTAAAACGTAGTTTCTTTTTTGTCACTTTTTGGTCGTCACAGAAGATCATGAAGATGGTGTTTATGGCGTCGGTAGAGTTGGGATCTATTGCAACAGCAAGGCTCCTTTATTATTTACCGTGTTCCAGCAGATTCTCATTACTTCCTACATTTGACAACAAAACCCAGAACCCTTGATAAATAGGAACCCGTTTCTCTCTTTTTCCCGATTAACAGTCATTTTTAATGGTTAAGAAACCGAGGCTCTAAATACTTAGGTAGCATTCCTAGGTTGACGAGAAGATTAAAATCCAGGTCTCTCCAACCCTAAACCCCGATATCATAGTGTTCCAGGTTGCTTCTGTTGCTGTGTTTTCTGATGCAAGTGATGGACACAATGTGGCTCCAACGTAAGGGAAACTGATGAGCTCACAGACAAGATCAAGGGTAGGGCCATTCTAGGTGAGGGATGCTCTGCTCCTCTTGGCTCTGTCCTCTTCTGTTTGGCTCCACCCTCAAGCTTGT